CTGGTCTTCAGTCACTAGTGTGTAATGCATCAAATATGTTCTTGAGTTGATCTGTAAATTCAGGTGGGATATGGTCAAGGTCGGTCAGATTTTGGCTCTCATGGACTTGTCTTAATTTTATTCAGTTTCAGCCTGAATTTGCATGTGAGCATTGACGGTCTGGTCCACAGTCTGCCCATGATCTTATTTTGGCTCATTTTGTTTGTTTAAAGAAGGGATTTGCAATGAACAAGTCATTGGTCTTGCAAAATTCTGTCATTCAATCTCCAGCATCATTTCTGTCACCAGGGCCATATTTTTTGAAACACTGATCCCTCCTCTTTGTTTCCAGTGTATGCATACCAGTCACCAGTAATATCAGTACATCTTGATTTCATGTTTGATCAATTTCAGGCTGAAGAAAGTTAGAGTTCTTCAATTTCATCATCACTTGCTTTAGTGGCTAATGCATGAATTTGAATAATAGTGATATTAACTGGTCTTTTGTGTAAGCAAATGGGTATTACCCTATCACAGACAGCGTTATACTTCCAGGTAGATCTTGAAATGTTCTTTTTGATAATGAATATGATGCCATTCCTCTTTAATTTATCAATCCTGGCATAGTAAACCATATGATTGTCAGATTCAAAATGGCCACTACCATTCCATTTCAGTTCACTAATGCCTAGGATATCAATGTTTATACGTTCCATTTCGTTTTTGGCAACTTCCAATTTTCCTAGATTAATGCTTCATACATTCCATGTTCTAATTATTAATGGATTCTCCTCATTTTGAGTTGTGCCCATCTGCAAATGAAAGTACCGAAAACTTGACTCCATTCATACCACCCCAGTCAGTGCTATTTTGTGGCAGCAGCTTTTCCCCTGTTGTATTTAGAGTACCTTCCATCCTGAGGGGCTCATCTTCTGATACTGTATCTCACAGCATTCTGGTGTTCTTCATCATGTTTCAGTGTTCAGTATTCTGGAACTGTCTGACAGTGTTCTGCTGATAATCATAAGGTTTTCAGTGGCTAACCATTCAGAAGTTGTCTGTCTCTCCGTCTTTCTATGTCGTCATCTGGAAACTCATGAAACCTGTCTACCATGGATCGTGACTCTGCCAGCATTCGAAATACATGTATAGCTTCTAGCCTTATGGCAAAACGTAAGCCACCCACTGTACAACAGTCTGACAGATGAGTGGTGACAGCTAGCCTCTTGTAGTTGTTGTTAAGTGCCATCAAATCTGTCCCGTCTCATAACGACCCTGTATAGGAGCATCTGGTGAGTTTGAACTGCTGACCACGTGGTTCAAAGTGACCTTGTGTACCAGTGCTTTATCCTACATTGCCACACCAGAGGCACCCCCAGTTAAGTACCTGGATTCACCCCAATCTGCAAGAAAGTTTCCTGTCTAAAATCACTCATGTTTACTTGCTTTGTGAGCTGGAGAGTCCACCGTCTGCCTTGTTCTGCAGTTCTGTGTTCTGTTGCTGTCACCTCTGGCACTACTCTGATGTCACTGCTGTCTGTCCTTGGGTTGAGGAGGTTCAACGCGTGGGGATCTAGGGGTCTGAGGACACACCTGGCTCCTTCTTTGATGGTAGTGAGGTCTTCCTTCCCTTCCCCTGCTCTTGTTTCTGAAATGGCTCCTTTTATACATAGCAGGATGGCAACATTGACCAATCACAATTTTCTCTATTAATACAACTGAGTCAGAACGCATCAACATCTTCCCTCACCTTCTCTTACCCGACCCAACAGGAAAGAGTCACTCGGTCATAGTTCACTTAAGACTAACTGAGGAGACCGGGGAACTAACTCATTGGGCCACAACTACTTACCGACAGCAGTTACAGTGGCAGGCTGTGCAACCCTACCCTTTACCCTAACCCTAACCCTTAACCCTAACCCTACCCTTAACTCTTACCCTAACCCTACCCTAACCTTAACCCTAACCCTACCCTAACCCTAACCCTAACCCTAACCTTAATCTTAACCCTAACCCTACCTTAACCTTAACCCTAACCCTACCCTTAACCCTAACCCTACCCTTAATCAACCCTATGCTTCCATCACCATTAACCCACGTTTCCCCTTCCTACCCGCTCTTTGAACCACAAAGTTGGCAGTTCAGGCTTACCAGCTGCTCTTGGAAACCCCTATATAGGGTCACTATGAGTAGGAACCGACTCAGTGACACTTAACAACCACCAGCCGGCGTTGGTAACACTGATAAACTTTGGCTCTGTAGACTGCCTTTTATATTTCTGTGTAAATGAGGCCATGTCCCATTTTTCCAGTGTCACAAAGGACAAATCCTCTCAAGTTCCATTCATACTGTAGCAGCTCCCCCACACACCATGATGTTCACTGGCTGAGTGGGTATCACATTGTGGGTTTGCCCGCTTTTCATGGGCATTTAAGTTTTTTCCACTTTTTGGTGAATAAATAGTGCTGCCGTGAGCCGTGCTGCAGAAGTCTCTGCTTTCCTGTCTTTCGGGTATAGACCTAAGTGTGGAATTGCTTGTGATTTGCTAGTCTTGGAGTCCTGGCGTAGTGCTGTAGGATAAGCACTGGACTGCTAACCGCAAGATTGGTGGTTCAAGCCCCCCAGCCACTTTAACAGTAGCAACAACAATACAGCTAATTTGATTTTTAATTTTTTGAGGAGCTACCAAATCTTGTCCACAATGTTTGTACCCTTTTGTATTCCCAGCAGCATTGGGCAGGGTTCCAATCCCTCCTCCTCGTTGTCACCATGTGTTTTCTGTTTGCTCTGCTGTTTTTATCTCGGTCACACCAGTCATAAAATGGCATTTCATCGTGGTTTTCAATGAAATGTTTCCTTCCTGATGGCCACTGACATCGGGCATCTTTTTGTTTGTTTGGTAGCCAGTTGAATGGCCCCTTTGGAGAAATGCCAGTTCACGTCCTTTCCCTCTTTTATGATTGACCGATTCACTGATTTTGATAACTTCTGAAATGCAGACCTGGGGCCACCTCCAGCCATGGGTGTTCTTGTTCATTGTTTCTGCTTCTTTTAGCTGGGTGTCTGCTTTCTGGCAGCCCTGTTGCAGACTTTGTTGTGTCATTGGTGAGATGTCTGACCTTGTAGCGTTTTTACCTAGAAACCCTGGATGAGCCAGTGAGGCACAGTAGGGGATGGTGTGTGATGGGGAGGAGAGTCTGGGGGAAGCAGGGCGAGGACAGCAGGCTGTGTGTTCTCCCTTGGCCTTATTACAGTTTGTGTTACAACTCCAGAAGATAGTCACGTGCACGGCGCAAAAGTGGGTGCCCAACTAGGGCCTGAGCATGGAGAAGTCAGGAGGGTGGGCAGGGTTGGGGCCAGGGATCGAGTGACTGCTGAGCAGGGTTGCACACACCTGTGACCTGGAATTCAAGTCAGGAGCCTGAGGAATCTCTGCCTGGTACACACAGGAATCCCAGCTCTGGACACTGTCAGGGAGAAAGGTGTTCCTGCCCAGGGCACACAGGAATCCCAGCTCTGGGCACTGTCTGGGAGAAAGGGGCCCCTGCCCGGTACACACAGGAATCCCAGCTCTGGACACCCTTCTGGGAGAAAGGTGTTCCTGCCTGGGGCACACAGGACTGCCATGTGGGAGAATGGGAAGTAGCTTCATTGCAAAGTGCTGAGCCAGGAGGACAGTTCCTGTGATCTGACTTCCCGTATACCTGGGACTTTTCAGAATTACATAAAACAAACAGGAAATTTATACAGATTTCTAAAAAGTGGGATAAGGCAGGGGACTGGTCGACTTCATGTATTCTTTGATTTAAAGGACTACGCAATTAAAAAAAAAATTTCCAGCTGATTCACTTTCTTTCTTGTTAAAAGCTTTTATTGTGAATTCAGTGATAGTTTACATGAGAGAACATCGGTTTTGCACACTTCCTATCGTATTTTGTTTCATTGCAATGATTCCAGTCATCTCCAGGCATCATCATTTAACAGTATCTGCTTCTATTCCCTCTGTTTTTATTTTATTTTTTTGATGTACACAAAAGCACTCAGAAATATATAATCATTGAAACAACCAAAGGGCACATTCTGACAGCCTGCCTCCTGGCCACCAGCTCTCAGTCCCTCTCTTTCCATGAGTCTGCGTCCTCAGCTGCTCTCTCTCCATGTCCTCATATCTGCCGTCGCTACTTCTCTGGATAGGGTCCCACATTCCGTTCATGGCTCTTCTCTCTTGATGGTCCTAGGGTCCTCTGTTCCTGGAATGTAAGATTAACTAACTACTCCCCCATTTTTGTCACAAAACTTCTACCTTTACAACCATTTAAAATTCACTGTACAGGAGTACAAGAATTGTTGGGGTTTTGTGTTCCAAGAAATCAGGAAGTTTTTTTGGGGTTTAATTGGCTGAAAGCCTCTGCATGTGTAGGGGCACAAACCAGTTGAGTCTGGTTTGGGCCGGTTATATTCTGAGTCTGCTGCTGGTTTCTGAATGACAGCTAATAGGGAAGTTATCCACAGCAATGACTTAGCCCCCCAGCTGAAAGGCCACATCACAGTCATCCCTGGAATCCACAGGCGCCATGCACCCCTGACACATGGTTTTCCCTCATCTTCTGATGGGAGCATGTGTATAAATCACTGCATCATCTTGGGCTGATCTTTCAAACTGTGAAGACCGTTTCAGAGAGCCAGTCCAGACAAGCCTTGAGCATTTTCTGGGAGCCTCACTGCCCTGTGGGTGAAGAGGTGTTCCTGCCCAGCCATCCTGCACCAGCGTCTGCTGTCTCCACGGGTGGAGATGTGGATGCAGTCACGCAGACCCACAGCACAGGCACCTTGTCCCTGCAGTTGTCACATCCCTGTCTCAGCAGATAGGGTGCCAGCCCATCTCTGTGCTGTGATGAGGCATTGGCAGCCAACATGTGCTGAGCCACACACAGTAACCCACTCTGAACATGTGAGTGTGCCGTCTCAGGCATTCTCCTGACACTCACGACTTGTATGTTGGTATGTTTCCACTTTCACAGCTGGACCACATCAACTCCAGGGCTGTGCAGCTGGGCGCCCTATTTGTCCGCGGCCTCACCACAATGGTGTTTGTCAACAGCGCTTGTGGCTTCCCCTTGGACGTAAATGACTTCATGCCCTGGAATGTCTTTGATGGGAAGCTCTTTCATCAGAAGTACCTGCAATCTGAGAAAGGGTACAGTGTGGAGGTACTGCTGGAGCAGAACGTGAGTCCGTGTTGTGTGTATGGCTCATCAGACACGGTCACAGCTGTCAGACAT